CAAAACTATGCACCAGATCATCTGTTTTAACTTTTTTAGATTTTTTAAATTGCAGATGGACACAATACCTTTAACTAATTTATTTATTTTTATGTGGTGCTGAGGTTCGAACCCAGTGCTAGGCAAGCACTCTGCCACTGAGCTACAACCTYAGCCCTGTTTTAACTTTTTAAACTCACAATCACAAAACTTAAATTGGTACCCAATACCACTAAGGAAGTCCTATCAAAGACTTGGCTTTACACTTCCCCTGCATTTGCAACCATCTTTACTTTGGTTACCCTTTTATCAGGGGAAACATCCCTGTTCCTATCCAAGGCCAATTCTCCATGTTCCTTAAAATCCTCCAATAGATTTCAGTCTTCTGTAGGTCAAGCACAGATCTCTCCTGTATCACTCTACCTTCTTGTCCACTGTAGCACTTCCAATAATGAATAAACATGCTCAAGAACCCTCCCATCTCTTCTTTTTTTGGTACTGGGGATTGAATCAAGGGGCACTTTACCACTGAGCTACATCCATCTGTAGCCCTTATTTTTTATTTTGAGGCAGGGTCTCACTAAGTTGTTTAAGGCCTTGCAAAACTGCTGAGMCTGGCCTAGAACATATTGTTGCCTCCCCTACCCACACACACTTTTGGTACTGGGGATTAAACCCAGAGGTGCTTAACCACTGAGYAACATCCCCATCCTTTTTTTKGTATTTTATTTAGAGACAAGGTGTCAATAAGTTGCTTAGGGCCTTGCTAAATTGCTGAGGCTTGCTTTGAACTTGCGATTCTGCCYCAGACTCCAAAACTGCTGGGATTACATGCACTACCACACCCAGCTTGGCCTAGAACTTAAGCTCTTCATACCAAGTCACTGAGAGTACAGGTGTGTACCCCTCCCAACCAGCCCCTACCATCTTTTAAAACATTTCCTGTGGGCTGGAGGTGGAGCTCAGTGGTAGAGCACTAGTCTAAGCATGTGCAAGGCCCTGGGTTGGATCCCCAGCACCCACCCACAAAYAAACCCAAACAAACAAAACCCTTTCCCTTGACATCATATGTTTCTACAATGATCCCTAAATTTTTCTGCTTGCTTCACAGAAAATGTCTCTCAAGTTGCCTACAGGTGATGTCTCTTAATCCTTCACTTTCCTGTTCAATCATCAACCCATACTAGTCAGTTGATATCCTCAATTGACCCACTGTGACTCAGCCCAAGGTACCAATGATTTTCCAGCGACCATCAAGGTAACCAATTTAATAGCCATGCCTCTGGCCCAAGTTAACCAGAACTCTCAGCAGCACTGGACAGATGCTGCTGCTTCTGCTATGTGAAACCATTTCTGCCCTTGGACTCCACAACTCAACACTCTAGATCTCCTTGTCTTTCTGGTTGCTTCCTATCAACTTCTTTCTCCATTAGCCTCTCTCAAATGTAGGAGTGCCCCAGAACTTGGTCTTTGAACTTCTCTCTTTCCTCCAAGTCATGGGTCCAAGCCCACACTTGTGGTTGAATCAGTTCATGAAGTTTTAAAACATCTGATTTAGTTGCCAAGATCTAAAAATCTGGAAATTTTACATTTTTTAAAATTAGGGTTTTGATTCCTTTAGGGGGAAAAACAGTATGTCAACTTGGGGCGAGTATTCTCACAACAGCAATCAGCTGGAAGGAGCAGAAGCCACTTCCTTGACATTGGGTGCATTTGTTATCTGCGATGTCTAAGGCAAGGGGGATTTAGATATGAGTCACTTTCCTGCAATACCAGAAGGCTCTCCTGCCAGAACCACCAAAACACCTTGCAATCCGCCTCGGTCAACTTCACTGGTCGCTGGTTGGGCAAGGAACCTCGTGGGGAGGAGGGGGAGTAAGGGCTCCGCCCACACGGAACTTAATAGTTTTCAGGCAAAAATAAGCACATTAAAAAAAAACAAAAACAGAAACAGAATTACAGCGCACCAATACAGAAAGTCCTTTCTGCAAAAGACGACTGTTGGGGTCATGTAAAAGCATTAAGTGTGGTCTTCCGTTGCCTCTCCGGGCTGAGGACATCCACAGGAGGCCCGGTCTTAGGAGAGCCTGTTCTAGGAGGGAGAGAGCTTCAGAAGCCACTGAGCAAGAACAGCTTTTCTTGCCATTGCCCTGTGACGCTGGACTGTATCTACTGGGCGCGCGAGGACCTGCCGGTCTCTACTCAGAGGCGGGCCTGTGTAGCATTCGGAGGGCGGATGGAGCCCGGCTGAGGCGGAGACTGGGCGGGGCCGGGCCCAGGAGCCGCCTCAGACCCACGGTCCCGCCCCGCGCGAGCTTCCTCCAGGAATCCCCACTCCCCCAAACCTTTACGGATTTAATGGGCAGAAGATAGCTGCCGAACCAGGTCAAATAGATCAGGATCGAGGACCGCCCAGAGGCGGTGGCCTCCGCACAGGAAGCTCCACCCAGCAGGAGTCGGGACTCCACGGCGCCGGCAGAGCCCACGCGCGAGCGAGCGAGGGCGCGGGAGGGCACGAGCGGCGTGACTACGCGACTCGCGGCGCGTCCCGTGACGCCATCGCGCCCGCTTTTGAAAGTTGGCGCCCGGGGCCGCCTCCCATGCTGCCCTGCGCCAACCCCTCCCCTCACCTTTCCTCCCCCGCCCTCCACTCGCCGCCCGGCCGGCCCCCCCCACCCGTCCCTTCCCTTATCAGCACCGCGGCCCCGGCAGCGCCGACGCAGGCGCACTGCACCGCGCCGCCGCCATTTTGTGTCCGAGCCTGTGGAGCGATTAAACCGTGCGCGGAGCTGCTTCTTTGGCGGCAGCGGTGGCAGCGGTAGCCGGTGCGGGCGCGCGGAGCTGGCCGGGGACGCCGGGTGGCCGGAGCGGTGGAGCGGCGGCGGAGCGGGCGCCGCGGGGGGTGTGGCGCGGAGGTAAGGGGGCCCGGGGTGGAGGAGGTTTCGCGGGCCGCCTCTAGGTGTCACGATGGGGCCGCTCCGGTCGGCGCTGGCTGCAGCCCGGCGCCAGCGCCGCCGCCGGGGGGTGTTTGTCTCCCTCTACCGTCCCTGCTGCGGCGCGGCCGCCGCCATTGCCCGTCGCCGCCGCGGGCCCGGCCCCCCCTCCACGCCCGCCTGCTAGGCCTTCCTCTTGGCGCACGCTAGGCCGCGGGCGGCGGCGGCGACAGAGGCCCGCGCGCCCGGAGACTCCATTTTCCTTCCTTTGTCTCTGCCCTCGAGGCCGGTTCTTGGCCCGACTGATCGCCCGGCCACGGCCCGCCCTCTGTCCTCCGCCCCTCCCGCGGCGGGTGGCCTCAGCCGAGACTCGTTCTCAGCGCCCCGGCTTCCGCGCCCGGTTAACTCCAGGGTCTGGACCCTTTGCCACCGCGCGCGCAGCCGGATCCCGGTGCCGTATGGGTGTCTGGTCCCGGCCGACGCGTCTCGAATTACCCATCCTCCAGTTTGCCCRGTCCCGGAACCTACCGGCTGTCCTGCGTGCGTCCCCAGCCGCTCGGTTGCTCGGCAGTCGCTCCCGGTCCGCGCGTCACCGCCGCTGGTCTCCGTCTCCGCCGAGTGGCGCAGGCGGCGCTGCTGCGGCTGCGAGCAGAGGGACCCCAGAGCTGCCGAGAGCTCCCTCTGCAAGGCTGGTTGAGCTGCCAGCGCCTCGACGCCGCCCGAGCGGGCGGGGGGACGCGCGCTCGCCGCCCCCGCCAGGCCCCGCTGCGCCCCCAAACTCGCGCTCTGGCTCTTCACCCGATAGGCCCGCCACGGGGGGCTAAAAAGATGAAAGTTCCGCATCAAGTAGTTTTTGTCCAGCCAGAGTTGGACTCTACCAAGCCCCTTGGAGTGATAGCCTCACTTTGTGCGCTCAGAGATCTCAAAGGGACAGAAACTTAATTTCACTTTGATTTCAAGTGACATGACAAACTCCTGAATTCTGGAGTATGTGCTGTCTAATGTCCCGATGCTAACTTACTGCACTATATAGTACCTGATGCTTTAGGGCTAGGCAAGGCAGTTTTGCCCCCGGAATTGTGCAATCTGATCTAAAGCGCCAGTAGGGCAGAATGAATATATTCTTGACTCGAGTGGTAATTTGCCCGTACGCTGAAATGTGAGGGTTGATGTTGTAATTGAATCCTAGGTCACTCGCTGCAGATGGTTTATAAATATCTATGCCTAATGTAACTACTCTTCAGTAGCTGACTTCCTGTATCCCTGAGTTCAGCATTAAGTAAATAGTCGCATACATAAAGTCCTCATTTTTTGAATTTCSATCAAATAGAAAAGTTGAAATACCTATCCACATTTTCCCATAGGGGAAAAGAAGTTAAACAGGTCAAATATTTAAATTGACTCTGTCCTTAAGTCTTGCATCATTAAAAAGCTTCTGCTGTTGAATTGCTGGAGTTTTTTTTTTTTTTTTTCCTCTCTCCCTTCCTTCCCTGCTGCTGCTCACGTACCTTAATACAGTGCCCTGTAGTAGCTGATGTATCAACTCAGGTTCCTTAGGAGAGAAGAAAGTCTGGATTGAAGTTTTTAAAGGAAGAAAAGCTAGGTTAAATTTATGTGGACGACAAAACACCCTGGTGCTATGTAAAGTTGTTGTGTCCACTGTATGTAATCTCAATCTATAGGTCCTCGAAGCAGTCTTGGTCCATATGCAACTCTTTCAACATCCCTTTTTTGAACTCTACAAGATGTTTTCAGTCCCCCTCTTCTCCAATAGAATTATACTAAGTAGCTAGGTATAGTAATGTTGATGGAGTGTCAAGCTTGGGAATAGAACCACCTTTAATTATTTAATACTTCATTTGAGTAATTTATTGCATTCTTTTGTTTTCAGTGTTCTTTTTGAAATTGTGGATGACAAGTGGCATATTTTATTTTTTAAAATAAGCTCCACAGAAGTTTAAAATTCAGCAGGTTTATAATCGAGCTAGGAGTACATTTTGTTTTCCCAGATTATCATTGTGTTCCACAGATCATATTTTGCTTTTTGAATTGGTTTTTCATATGTGTCATTACCTTCTTGGTCTTATATCATTTATGCTGTCTTAATGGTATAGACCTTAGACCTTGTCTATATACTTGCTCTCCTTTGAGATTCTTGTATGCCAGGGAACATACTTGGTTTTTATTGGGAAAACTAAATCTGTAGAAAAAATAAATTGAGGATGAATTCATATGTCAAAATAATCCAAAGGACCTCAGTAATATGAGGAAAATTATAAGAATGTTTGCCTACATAAGGAGATACTGCGTATTTAAAGAGTAATTGTAAAAGTTATTCTTAAGGATCCATTCAGTCTACATAGGAACATATAAGAGATGTGACTATTATCTTTAGGGTGTAAATTCTAAGGGATTTACCATTCTGATTTAAAGCCATTCAGAAATGAGGGCAACCACCTGGGACTTATGAGTGGCTTGGGGAATTTTTTGGCAGCGACCACCTGTGGCTAACTGAGGCCCTTGGTAGAAGTCCTGTGACAGAATCTTGCACAGTGGTGCTTGCTGGCAGAGAGTCGCCTCTAGAGACTTTTTGTTTATTTGTTTGTTTGTTTCAGAGATGCTGCTGGCATCACAGCCACTCCATCTCATGTACTATATAGTTTTCATTTCATTTTTTAATATTGGAAGCTTACCATGGCTATCTACCTACCTTATTTACCTGTCTTGATTCCAGATGACTTCAACCCTTTTGCCAAATATTAGATTCTTTTTCAGACAACTAAGATTTCTTATAATTTTAAGACTTTTTGAAAAGGGACATATAAGTTTCGAAGGAACAGTAATGGTAAATAATGTGTAACTTTGGTGACCATGATTCTCAGTTGGATATGTAGATTTGTCTCATCACATTTAACACCTTTAAACTTTTTCTAGTAGTATTTACTATATTTCCTGTTAGAATCCTTGTGCATTTTCTCAGTGATTTAGTATGTGAATGCCAAAATATTGCATTGCAAATTGGTTACTGACATATATCCCAAAGGCAATATATTATCCCATACTTAATCTTCATTTTAGATCACTCTTAGGATTTTTAGGGGTATAAAATCCCATTCCCTTTGAAGCATGTTGGTGATGATAGGAACTCTAGGCCAATGCACATGCCTTTAATCTCAGCTAATTGGTAGGCTGACGGAGGAAGACCAGAAATTTGAGGCCAGCCTGGGCAATTTAGCAAGACCCTGTCCCCAAATAAAATTTTAAAATGGGCTGGCCAGAGATATGGCTCAATGATAGTGCACTTGCCTAGTGTGAGACCCTGAGTTCAATCCCCAGTAACCCTCCCCAAATATATATACACACTACAGTACAAAAGTGTTTATTGAACTAAATATACKAATTCTCTGTGTTAATAAGTTGCCTCTCAACAGAGACTTCTTAGCTTGGTCTAAGAAAGTATAATGTCAGCTTTGATTTGTGGGCTAGTTCATTATGAGAAGGATTTCCTCTTATTTATATCTCATATTCCAAATCATTTAGAAGCTCTTAATTCAAATTTAGTTCTTACATTTATTTCACTTGGGTTTGTTCGTTCCTTTCTTCCTTTCCTTTCCTTTCTTTTTTTTTTTTTTAATATTTTTTATTTTTTACTTTTCGGCAGACACAACATCTTTGTTTGTATGTGGTGCTGAGTATCGAACCCAGGCCGCACTCATGCCAGGCAAGCGCACTACCGCTTGAGCCACATCCACAGCCCCCTTTCCCTTTCCCTTTCCCTTTCCTTCCTTCCTTCCTTCCTTCCTTCTTTCCTTCCTTCCTTCCTTCCTTCCTTCCTTCCTTCCTTCCTTCTTTCTTTCACTCTACCATTGCTTGAAGCTTAAAATTCATATTGTAACTTAGTGGAAGAAAATGTCAGCTAACAAAGTATTCCATTGTTTAACTACAGAAGTATTTCATTGCTATTCTTCTAGGATTTTCCGAGGTCAGTGAAAGCTCTTCTCCCTATAGTATCTTACCAAACTGAAAATTAGTTGTGCAGTGTAAACTAACTTAATCAGTAAGATCACTATTTACTGAAGATAAGGAAATAAATTGTTAAAGGACTATTATTGTGGCTGTAAGAATTAATTTTGGGAATGGATATAGCTCAGTAGTCAAGTGTTTTGCTTAATGTTCATGAGGCCCTGGGCTCAATCCCTAGCATTAAAAAATGTTTAAAAATGTTTTTGGTGGTTTGAATACTTGTGCCATTGATTGTAATATATATTCTATATTCTTTCTTGCTTGCCTTTTTTGGCCAGGAGATACTGGGATTGAACCCAGTGGCATTCTGCTTCCAAGCTATGCCCCCAACCCTTTTTATTTTTTGAAACAAGGTCTTGCTAAGTTGCCAAGGCTGGCCTCAAACTTGTATCTTCCTGCCTCAGCCTCCTAAGTCACTGGGATGACAAGTGTGTCTGCCCTACTATTTAGACAATTACAAATCTTTAGTCTTTTATATATCCACAAATGTTTTTAAAAAAGTGAATGTTTTGTAATTGACCTGATGGACATTTGTGGAATGGTTCATTTAGAGACATTAAATATTAAGAATTTATTGTTTTTTCCCCATTTTAATCAGTCTTTGATTTGCCTTAATTTTTCATGCTATATGTGTATTTGTATGAATTCAGTGTTTCATAAAATGATTTATTCTTTTTTAGAATGATCACAGACCTGGAGCCAAAGAACAAGATGCACTAGTGGACAGAGTGCTGACCAAGGGCTTGAGAGCTGGGTTCTGTTTTCCCTCCTCAAACTGACTTTGCAGCCACGGAGAGGTACATTTCTTGCTCTTAAGAATGGGAATAATGTAATCCTTTGGAGACTGGAGAATTTGCTAGGTGAATCATGGGAATAGGAGAGGCAGGACATTGGATAGTTGACAGAAGTCAGAGTCCTGGGTTTAAAACTATGCGTTGCCACATAGTAATTAGGTGATGCTCATCAAGTTACTTAATCTGTCTGTTCCTACAGTTCTCTCTCCTTTTTTTTTTTTTTTTTTTTTGGGTACCTAGAATTGAACCCCAGGCGCTTTACCACTAAGTCGCATTCTCAGCCTTTTTTTTTTTGGGGGGGACAGGGTCTTGCTAGCTTGATGAGGCTGGCTTTGAATTTATAATCCTCCTGCTTCATCCTCCTGAATTGCTGGGATCATAGATATGTGCCAGTGTGTTCAGCTACCATCCTCATTTGGAATAGAATTACAGCATCATCAATCTCAACAAGCTATTCTTGGGTGTAATAAGAATATATGTAAAGGATAAATTACCATACTGAGCATATACATAGGAAATCAGGGCTGTTTGTCAGTAGAAACCCTTARAGTGTATATTTTGACTATTGGCAAATGACCCAAAACGTCCATGGCCTGTGGCAGTTTGTAATTTTGATGAAGAACAGATGGAATACTGTTGTTGGGGAAGCTGGTATCCTTGATAAAAAATGTGTTAATTAATTTGAGTTAGCCTAACTGATGGCCCATTATTTGCATCAGTGTGTGACAGTCATTATCAATTTACTTCAGATTATAATTCTGCTATAAAATATAATGGACATCATAGGGAACTTGGAACAGGCTTCTCATTTAGGTAGAGATATGCTTTGGGATTTCTAAACAAAGTAGGGTTCTGAGTGTAAAAATTATCTATCATTGACTACCAGAAAGCACATCTTTTTTACCCACAGAAAAATGTGAAAGTAATTTAATTGCACTTGTTTGATGGCAAAAAGGAGTACAGAGGTGGAAATTACAAATGTTAAAATTAGATGTTTATATTAATGAATCATCTCAGTGACTCCCTAAAATTTTTCTTACGAGCTAGGTGCAGAGCAAGTAGAGAGGAGGAAGGGAAAAGTAATGAAAGCTGCTCTATTCTTCAGCCTTCTGTTTTCCAAATGGGCAGCTTGATATCTTGCTACATGGAAAGAACAAAGTCTGTGATAGTGTCCTGTCCTTCTAGAAATAACTTGTGCCCTACAGTTTTTTTTAAGAATGTTGACTCAGAATACATGCTAATAAAGTGCAGAAAAGAGAAAAAAATATTCATTATTTGAAGAACTGTTGAGAAATCTAGCATTAAGAGTTTAGGAAATGGGGCTGGGGTAGTGGCTCAGTGGTAGAGCGCTGTGTGAGGGACTGAGTTTGATCCTCTGTACCACATTAAAAAATAAACAAAATAAAGGTATTGTATTGGGTCCGTCTAAAACTAAAAAATAAAAATTAAAAAAAAGGTTAGGAAATGGGATTATAGGAACATGTTGGTCACTCTTAAGTTTTATGGGTACCTTTAATGTTAA